ATAGTGTGTAGATATTAATATTAGAATTAATAATTAAAGAAAACATGCTAACTTGATTATTGTCTTGGGGCTAATTTGGGCTAATGCAGTCATTGTGCTGTGGAATTCTTTCCATGTCATGCAAAAAACATACCATTTAAAGCCCTTAATAATTGTATAAGTGATTGCTCTGTTCTTTTTCATTAGGTCTGTCATCTGCTTATAAAATGCTGTCATGTTAAAAGAAAATTCAGCTAGCTACTGATTATATGCACTAAGAAGACATGCTTAGTGATCAAATATTTGCTGTCAGAAATAGGTACTCCTTTGCGGACTTTATCTTAGTGCTACCAGTATGTTCCAGAAAACCATATGCAGTTGCTAAACCAAAGCAGACTAAGAGTTTGTTTGAAGATTAAGCCTGCAGGGAAGTGGAAGATGTTGTTTCTTATGCTTCTACATGGCATGGATATCTCCCCTGTGGCTTGTTGTTTTTCATCGTACTGTAGCATGGAAGGAACCATGTCTTAGAGGCGTCCAGCATACTTAGAAGTTCGTAGCATAATATAGCCATATGTGGCTAGGATTAAAATAAATACTGTAGATGTAAGGCTGGATGGAGTAAAGCATAATGGAAAGTCTTTATAGGTGGAAGAATAGGATACAGCTTGTTTAAACCACTGTATTGGGAAATGAAACAGTAAAGTACCTGTGAATTGCAACTCCATATTGCAATTCAGAGGCAATAATATCCCTAAGATAGCTTTTGCTTCTCCTTTGGCTGCTTTTTCATCCCATTCATTGAAGACAAACAGGGAAATCATAATGAGATACTGAAAGATGCAAACTGCTTATGATGCTGTGGACAGCTCCCTTGTGGACTTCTTTTACCTGCCTAAAAAAAAAAAAAAGCTGAAAATCCATATGGTCGTTAAATAGTAATCTTGTTGATGGTATCCAATGAAGTTCGAAATGTGATAGTTCTGTATTGGAAGAGGTCATCAGTGCAGTGCACATGTCTTCATTTTTGAGTATCTTCTTGTTTAAATCATACTTTTGCTTCATTTTCTTTATTTGATTGTGCACAATGCCTTGTTCCACAGAAGTCTGTTGGAAATGCCTTATTCTTTCATATATCTGTTATGAGATACCTTCTTTATGGCCATACTCAGATTCTCGTGAATTCTATTCCAGAATCCACAGTCAGTCTTCCAAAATGCATAGAATTGTGAGCAAGCTTTAAGGTTTTGTAATATGAAGATAGGAAAGTCTATGCTGTCATTAAAAAAAAAAAATCTCCATATTATTCTGGCCATGAATGAATTCTCCTCCCCCCCCTCCCAAGTCTCCCTCCTCTTTCTAGCTACCTGCTTTAAAATCTAGCATCCTACAGTACGTTTGTACTTTATTTTGCTTCTTGGCATTCTAATTCACTAAGCTTTTCATTCTGCCTGCACTTTGTATTCTCCATTCCTGGAGCTTCTGGGGGACGACTGTTCTGCTGGCCTGATGCACTTGGGCAATCTCAGCATGGCACTTTAACAGCTGGAAACAGTACTTCTTGTTCACCTGGAAGGCTTCCATCCTGCTGCTTCTCTTTAGTGTGGTCTCTTGTTCCATCACGGACATGCTATATCCGACATGATGTCATTCTGCTTCCTATTTACAACCAGGATCTCACATATCCTGCTTCTGCACTAGGGTCATGA